ATAAGGGGAAGAGAGAGAAAACTTGAAAGAAGGAAATAAAATGAAGGCTCTATGCCATGTTCTCCAAAGTTCAAAAGGGTCACCAACCAACCATAAATACATTGACCTCTTAAAGTCCTGTAACTGTATACTAAAGTCTTTAAAACTAGTTATGAAAAGGATGTTTCTTCTTCTTCTTCTTCTTCTTCTTCTTCTTCTTCTTCTTCTTCTTCTTCTTCTTCTTCTTCTTCTTCTTCTTCTTCTTCTTCTTCTTCTTTTCTCTCCTCCTCCTCCTCCTCCTCCTCCTCCTCCCTCTCCTCCTCTTCAATATCCTAAATGCCTCCTGGCTAATTTTTTCCCAACCCTCCTTTTCCAGTGACAATTTTTAAGAAGTCAGATTCAATCCACCTTGATTAATTTTCCTTTGGGGCTGACCGGAGTCCAGCAGCCCTGCTATGATCACAACTAGCCCCTTCACCCCACATCTCATCTAGAATTAATCTTTCTAGGGGCCATAGCAGCAACGCCGCCCCCCACCAACACAAGGTAGGTTTCCCTGACTGGAGACCAGTTCCCCACCAGCCAGTCTTCAAAGATGCCAATCACAGAGCAGTCCAAAAAGTTTCCTGCTGTCAACCTCAGAAGAAGTTTCTGTCCTGTTCTACCGGCTGATCAAACATTCTTTCTTTCCTTCTTGGAAGATTAATTCAAAGTCGCGGGGGCCCCCTCCATCTTTTTTTCCCCGCTTACACCTTTTCAGTTTAGTCAATGGCCCCCATCTTCTTCAGATGGAAAAGGAAGTGGCCAATAACAGGAATCCTTTTGAAACAAAAGACAAGCCCCCTCCCCCAAAAAATAAATTTAAATCCCAGCTGTTATCAATGTTTTTCCCCCCTTCTTCTTCTCTTTCCACTCCCACTGCTTAAATGCCTTTCAAAAAAAAAAAAAAAAGAGGATTGGATTGGATTAAGGACTAGATTTGAATGGTTTCCCTTTGATCAAAGGCCACCAGCCTTTATGCAATCACGAGGAATGGCTCTTTTTGCAGCACTCAAAATTGATTAGTTTTACTGTAACTTAGTGCACATTTTGATTCAGCCAGACGATTTGTTTCCTCTGGTTTTTATTTTTTTCATTTTACTTTTTACTTTTTTAGTTGTGTGTTGATTGACTGCCTCTCTGCCCCGCCCTTCGACTCAAGAACCCCCCAGCGGGTGGTTCATAGTGGAGGCCGCTACATGATCGCTCGTGACAAGGATTCTAGAAATTAAAATAAGCCATGAGCTCATTTTAAGAAAACCTTACAGCACATTATTCAAACTGATTTTGATGGGTATCATTGATTTCCCACAGTCTTTCATCTCCGCTGTAAGATTTCTGGGATAACTTCGGAGCAGATGTCCGGGCAGAACTGATCTGGAAGAACAGGCAAAACATATGCTGCATTCAATGGCTGAGCTGGACATAAGGATCTCCAACCCCAAGCAACAAATAATTAAAGCAGAACTTAAAGGACCGTCTTCTAGCAAAAATATGGGATGATCTCTGCATTGGCCCCTGAGCCAGATGCTGGAAAAAGAACCAAAGCGACACATTGTTTTTTTAAGGGATCCAAAGAAAATGCAGGAAACTTAGAGTTGCAATAAGCTTCTTGTGATGACCGCATTTTAGGATTAAAATGGATTAGATTAGATTAGGATTAGATCCTCCCATGCTCTGTGGAATGTATTGGAAAGCAAGGGATCTCCAGTATTTTCGGTTTTGGGCGAGGACTTCGGCGTCTTCTATGAATGTGCTTCGCCATGTATGTCTCAGAACATAAAGTTGGAAGGGACCTTGGAGGTCATCTAGTTCAACTCCCTGAACAAGCAGCAGAGTCTATACCAATTTCAAACAAGTGGCTGAGAGTTCCTTGGTGCTCTCTGAGCTTGCTTGTTTTCTTGCAGATGTTTCAAGATATAAGATATAATATATAAGATACGAGATATATAAGATATATAAAATACAAGAGATATAAGATATATAAGATACAAGAGATATAAGATATATAAGATACAAGAGATATAAGAGATATAAGATATATAAGATACAAGAAATATAAGATATAAGATATAAGCAGTGATGGGATTCAGCTGGTTTGCACCACTTCGGCAGAACCGGTCGCTAATTTTTTGTTGCCCAGGCCCAGAATGGACTTCCAGAAGCAGCATCCATACAGAGAACTGGTTGTTCACATATTTGAATCCCACCACTGGATATAAGATATATAAGATATAAGATATATAACTATAAAATATTCTATTCTATTCTATTCTATTCTATTCTATTCTATTCCATTCTCCATTCTCCATTCTCCATTCTCCATTCTACTCTACTCTACTCTACTCTACTCTACTCTACTCTACTCTGTTCATTCTGCTTAACTAAACAAAGGTAAGCATAATTAATGGTAATTACGTACAGTAGGATTTTTAAACCATGTTTAAACGCCACTTCCCTGCATGCCTCTTTTAGATGTAATTTGTCATATTTTAGCCTTTTGGCCTTTTGTTTATACATTTGGAGTCTTCTCAGTACTTGAATGGTGTTTCAGCACAATGATTTATTTTCTTGGGTTAGCTGAAGACAGTGCGTAGCAACAAAAACACACTAAATGCATCCTGAATACAACTGGGTAGAGTGGATCGAGACGGGGTTTTGACTGCTTCAGCCTACAATAATTGTTCAAGGCCTGAGTGCTCACTGTAACCCAAATCAGTTTTGCTTTCTCTATCACTAATCCTGCAGTCTTCATTTCTATGTTAGCAATTCATACAAATTAAGAGCTAATACACATTAACTCTCATGCTTATGCTTTGGCACAAAGTCTGGGGAAAAAGTTAACTGGAAGGAAAGTCGTGATACTACTGTACGGAAGATGAGCTAAAACTACTCAGCTTAGTTAGCAGAAGGGGGTGCTGTGGTGTAACCTTTTCCAAATTGCAAAGAGAAGAAGTTATTGCATACGTAAGCTAAAATGCTTAAGCACCTAGCTTGCTCCAAAGAACCGGTGAAGTATTTAGTTCGGGAACCAGGCTGTTCCTGAAGTGTGCATATTTTAAACGGCGCTTACAACTGGGCAGCTATGGTGAATGTACCTGCACACTCCAAAAGCATTTGCAAGATTACGCCATACGTACTGTAGGGTTTCCATTTAGTGGGACATTTAATAGCTTTGCCCTGCATAATAGTTTTAATTTAAGCTTAGTGGGGCACGGAAGTTCTCTGATTCAAGATCCAGTAAGAATCACAATTTCCTCTTCCGTATCTCTTCAAGGGTTACAAGAGATTGGATTCAGGTTGATATGCTCAAGCTGGACAATGGAACATAAGAAGAAGAGCTCTTTACTATCCCCATAATGTACCTTTCGTTTCACTGGGAACAGGATTTCAGTCTCCCGGATGAGGCGATAACAAAGCTGATGGTAGTAATTCTGCTATGGGCAGAACTCAAGGCAGAAACTCAGAAATTGCAAGAAAACTTCCCACCACCACCCTGGTGTGCTACTTGCTTTAGGATTCCAAACAGAATACGGAACTCCCTCTTCCTTGAAAGAATCTATCTATCTATCTATCTATCTATCTATCTATCTATCTATCTATCTATCTATCTATCTATCTATCTATCTATCTAGTTATCTATCATCTCTCTCTCTCTCTCTAGCTGGATAGCTAGATAGCTAATTATCTATCTATCTATCTATCTCTAGCTAGCCAGCTAGCTAGCTATCATATACTTTCATTTGTTTTCTAATCCATGTGCGGGTCTTTTTATCTTGTCTTGTGATGCTGAGAATGTGTCTTTCCATGGCTCTTTGTGCCACTCGTAGTGGATGTGTGTGTGTGTGTGTGTGTGTGTGTGTATACATATACATACACACATTTTTATTTGTTTTAATAGAATAGAATAGAATAGAATAGAATAGAATAGAATAAATATTGGAATATGGAATGGAATGGAATGGAATAGAACAGAATGGAACGGAACGGATCGGAACAGAACAGAACAGAACAGAATAGAACAGAACAGAACAGAACAGAACAGAACAGAACAGAATAGAATAGAATAGAATAGAATAGAATAGAATAGAATAGAATAGAATAGAATAGAATAAATATTGGAATATGGAATGGAATGGAATACTTTCATTTGTTTTCTAATCCATGTGCGGGTCTTTTTATCTTATCTTGTGATGCTGAGAATGTGTCTTTCCATGGCTCTTTGTGCCACTCGTAGTGGATGTGTGTGTGTGTGTGTGTGTGTGTGTGTGTGTACATATACATACAGACATTTTTATTTGTTTTAATAGAATAGAATAGAATACAATAGAATAAATATTGGAATATGGAATGGAATGGAATGGAATAGAACAGAATGGAACGGAACGGATCGGAACAGAACAGAACAGAACAGAACAGAATAGAATAGAATAGAATAGAATAAATATTGGAATATGGAATGGAATGGAATACTTTCATTTGTTTTCTAATCCATGTGCGGGTCTTTTTATCTTGTCTTGTGATGCTGAGAATGTGTCTTTCCATGGCTCTTTGTGCCACTCGTAGTGGATGTGTGTGTGTGTGTGTGTGTGTATACATATACATACACACATTTTTATTTGTTTTAATAGAATAGAATAGAATAGAATAAATATTGGAATATGGAATGGAATGGAATAGAACAGAATGGAACGGAACGGATCGGAACAGAACAGAACAGAACAGAACAGAACAGAACAGAACAGAATAGAATAGAATAGAATAGAATAGAATAGAATAGAATAGAATAGAATAGAATAGAATAGAATATGGAAAGAGTAGAATATGGAAAGAGTATGTATGGTGTGTGTGTGTGTGTGTGTGTGTGTATTCCTTGAATATATCAGGTGTTAGAAGAACAAATGGGTTACTCCTGCTCTTCTCCAGCTAGTTCCTACTCTCTATTTCATCTCCAGTCTCCCAGAGAGTCATCAAAACTGAGATTTAATTACATCTTAAGGGAGTGGGGGGGGGACCCAAAGTGTAAACATGACTCCTTTTTATCTCCTGATACATCTGGACAAGTAGACAATGTGCTAAAACAAACTAAATCTGGCCTGACAGTCACTTCAAAGAGTTCAGCAAGAGTCTTGCCGCTACTTAAGGCGCAGGAATGCCGTTGCTAAGCATCTTTTTTCAACCTACCCGTCAGTAAAAGAAGAGCAATTTCTTTCTTTCAGAGGCAGCCAAGAGAGTTAAAGGATTTGGGGGGATACGGGTGCTGTTAATGAAGCAGGTAGGTTTTTTTGGGGGGGGGGCGTGTGTGTGTGTAAAACTGCCTTTTTTTCCTAATGGAATAACTCTATTTATTTTTGCAAATCTCCTCTAGGAGATTGCAAATCTCCTTTAATAGGCCAAAAGTATTCAGAGTTTATACATTCTTGGCTACTAGGCATTCAAGCTTACATTAGTCCTTCAAACCATTTTCTCCGTAAACCTAACTTGTTTTGTTTTTACAAAAACCCACAAAAAGTGGGAAGTGTGAATAAGATCTGCTGTCCAGCTGACTCGAAGGCTACCTGTGTTTTCAGCAACTTATAAACCAAAATAACATATCATACATTGGATCCCTTCGGATAACCTTTCATAACCGTAGCACTTTTATTAATTTTTGTTTGCAAGAACTATAAATAGCAGGATCAAAATTGATCAAACCCAACCTGAGATCAAGAAGCAAGGATCAAGCTACACTAGTGTTTTTTTTTAAAACTTCATCTCTTTGAACTATCGAGATTAAAGCTGGCTGCCCAACAGCCCAATTTACGCCGTTCTTGATGAAATTTTGCTTATTTACCCAGTTATTTCAGAATATTTGCTGCGTATTTCTTTTGTGGTTGGTTATGTTGCTGTTCTTGATGAAATTTTGCTTATTTATCCAATTATTTCACAGTATTTGCTGTGTATTTCGTCTGTCATTGATCCAAGGCAGTTTAAAGGAATATAACAAGATGTATTGCTATTCAGTGGTGAAATTTATATACCGCACATTAATATTATTTGATGGTTGAAATATTTCTTTGCAGAATGATCATGAGCATATTAATCTCTCAAACTTTCCCTAGGTCAATATGTTCAAAGTCTGACATCTCAGGTTAAAACAAGCTCCGTCTAGGGGAAAAAAAATGAAACGCAACCTGTTTTTTATCTTCTCAGTAAAATTGACCCCTTTTCCTATAATGCAAAGTTAGAGTCCTTATTTGGGTCTAACTAACATCTCCAATGTATCTCAGAAACCTTTTTAAGTACTTCAAGTTTCGGAACTGTTCAAATGTCCAGCTACTAGAATGGAAGTCTTCTCTACATTTTTTCTGACGGTGCCTAAATTGTGGGACTTTCCCATGAAGCATTGGGTTTTTCAGATCCGTTAATTGTTCCTTGAGACCTTATTTCTTTATTCTAGAAATCTATTTAATTCTACATCCTATGTTTTATCAGCAGGCGGACTGTCTTTATCTCTGGGTTTTGCTGCTTATTTTGATACCCATGTTTGATGGTATTTCATTATTTTTACCGTGTTTTGTTTCAACGTTGAACATGAAAAATTGGCAATATATAAAAGCCAATGAATAAATAATACACACACATACACACACACACACATACATATATATATATACACACACATATATATATATAAACACACACACATATATTCATACACATACATATATAACATATACACACACATATATACATATATGTATATATATATCTACAAACACACACATACGTGTATACATATATACACACATATATAAACTAATTTAGAGAACTAGACTAATTTTAAGATAGCCAGAGACGGAGCCAGGATTTCTCAAAATCCAATCTCACTTCTTCTTTGAAATCTGTCATCTGCCTCATCAAGACAATAAGGATTTTATTCTATAGGATTGTAGGCATAGATATTGAATTATTTTCAGTAGTTTTAAATCATATTTTAAACTGCCCAGTGTTGTTATAAAGTATCTTGAATACTTCAATGCACTTCATGGTAAGGAGCCCTGGTGGCGCAGTCGTTAGAATGCAGTTTTGCAGGCTAACTCTGCCCACTGCCAGCAGTTTGATCCTGACTGGCTCCAGGTTGACTCAGCCTTTCATGCTTCTTTCCGAAGTCAGTAAAATGAGGACCCAGATGGTCGAGAGCAAGAGGCTGACTCTTAGGGAGGGCTGTAAGGCTCTGTGAAGCGGAGTATAAGTCTACAATGCTATTGCTACAATCTAATGTGCAGATTTATTTGAAAGCACCATTTTAATTTAAGAAAGGCCATCTCTGTACTGGCTAGCACAGGCTTCAGCTTATGAAGTGAAGGGGGGGAAAATCCTCTTCTAAATAAATATGCAAAATGCAGAGAGGAGAAAACTCTTCCCTTTCTTTGTTTGTTTTCTATCAAGAAAGTTTTGCTTTAAAAACAGCATTCTTCCCTAGATCTGGACAACATCAGTTGGGCAAACCATTACAGAGTCTGAGAAATTGCAGAAATAAATCACGTTTAACATTATCTCCAGCACTGTCATATTTACTAAACAGAGATGGAAATCAGCAGCAACAATTTTCATTGTTCCATTGAGCTCTTGTGTTCTAATTAAAGAGAAGGCTCTTTCCACTACTAGCCTAGCCATTGATCTTACTTGAATATTGTATAACTTTATTTTTTTTTTCCTTTTGTAGACTTTCACAAACGGCTAAGAATGCGTGCAGATGTGTGTGTCCAGGCAAGGATTTTAGTGCAAGGATTTATTTTGTCACTTGGCAATAAGAGGTCATTTGCACAGAGTCAAATCAATAAAGTTTTGGTCCTTTCTGTTTTCAGTTGCCCCTAACACAAGACAAACCTGATTTTTCCTCTTCCCCTCTAGCTTTAATAAAACGACGAGGTGGGTTTTTTATTATTATTACTATTAAAGATATAGGTCAAGCAAACCTGGTGATTTCGATTCTGTGGGGTGCCTTGGCCTCTGTTGTCGTATGACTCAAATTGTTCTGTTGGATCCTAATTATTCCTCTTGGTTGTTTCACATTTTCAGAATCCTCCTTGCACACTTACAGTAATGTCAGAACTGATAAGCTGCCCTGTAGTAAAACACTACATTATGTCCTCGCTTCCATTGTTAATACAGCCCAGAGATTGCAAGAATGCTTTAATCTGCTCCACAAGGAAAATGTGGTCTAAAAATGTAATAAACTTTGTATCTTTCCCAGATATCCCTTCCCGAAACAGTCCACAGTGATAGACATTTGAAAAGTGTCCTCCTGTATATAAATGCCCTTTATCTTGGAACTTTTTTAAAACAAACAAAAAAAAAATCAATTGGGAATGTATTTGTTTGAACAGTGTTTGTGGCAATAAAGCCTGAATCTCTAATCTGAAGGATGGCTTTTTCTCAGGCTAAGGGCAGCAAAGCAACAGTGTCCACAAAATTGCTTTTAATTATGATTTAATACTTCTTCATTTCACTGTTTCCCAGCTGAAAAGTTTAACTGCCCAGAGGTGATTCGCAAATCAAATAGTAAAAACCACAAGCGTTAGAATAACTCCACTAACAGTCACCTCTGACTGGAGTGACCTCTACACCTTGCAAAGAAACAAGCACAAACTCTAATTAATATTATAAACATTTAGCCAGGGCCAACAGCCCATTAAAATCTCCTGCTGTTATTGTTATCCAAAAGGTGACTCAAAAGAATGCTAGCTAGAGTAATAGAGCCCAGGTAGAGTCCACTGGGAAGAGATGGTCACATCATAAAAGTCATGGGTCCTTATTCTTGCAGAAGTTTGTGGCTTAAAATCAATGCCCTGAATTGGTAATAGCAATAGCACTTAGACTTATATACCACTTTGTCATGCTTTACAGCCCTCTCTACACGGTTTGTGAAGTGAGCCTATTGCCCCCCCCCGTTAATCTGGGTCCTCATTTTACCAACCTCAGAAAGATGGAAGGCTGAATCAGTTAGCAATAGCAAGAGCACTTAGACTTATATATCGCTTCAGAGTGCTTTATAGCCCTCTGTGGGTGGTTTACAGAGTCAGCCTGTTGCCCCCCGACCATCTGGGTCCTCATTTTACTGACCTCGGAAGGATGGAAGGCTGAAGCAATAGCAATAGCACTTAGACTTATATACCACTTCACAGTGCTTTACAGCCCTCTCTGAGAGGTTTACAGAGTCAGCCTGTTGCCCCCCGACCATCTGGGTCCTCATTTTACCGACCTCGGAAGGATGGAAGGCTGAGTCAACCTTGAGCCCCATCAGGATCAAACTCCAAACTTTGAGCGCTGTGCCATCACTGCGCCGCTCAGAATAATTAGTATCCTTAGAGGTCCAGGTTCCAGAAAAAATGAGTATAGGTCAAGGGGTAGCCAATATCTAAACTATATAATCAAGTAGGAAATTACTAGAAGACCTCCAAGGTCCCTTCCAACTCTGATGTTCTGTAAATGTTGTGACTTGACTATGTAGTATAGTATATATGAAAAGTATATATGACCCAGCTTTCTGCAATGCTTGTCTTGGCCCATTGACTAAGAACCGCTGGCCAGGACACCACAACTGTGTTGGGAGTTTCTATTTTTCTCAAAGATTTATTACTCAGCCAAGTGGTCTGGAAGTAGTCTCTGTTACATGGGGGCTTTGATGCTCTCTGGTCTTGGTTGTTTTCTTGCAGACGTTTCAGTACCCAACCAGGTAACATCATCAGTGCACTGATGATGTTACCTAAATTGTAATGAAATGTCCGCAAGAAAACAACCAAGCTCAGAGAGCATCAAGGACCCCACCCCTTCCTCCTCCTCCTCCTCCTCCTCCTCCTCCTCCCAAACCTCACTCCCTTTTAGCACTGATGTGTTACCTACATGGGTAATGAAACATCTGCAAGAAAACAACCAAGCTCAGAGGGCACCAAGAACCCCACAATCATCTCCTCAGACAATTTGGGTTAGAAATGTAAAATTTACTCAAGCACAAAATTTAAGAGAAAATTTTTATAAAATGTTTTATACATGGCATTTGGATCCCCAAACGTTGTCCCGCATGTATCTGAAATTACAGCCCAAATGTTGGAGATGTGGAAATTTAGATGCAACTTATTTTCATATTTGGTGGATTAAGATTTGGTGGAATGTTCAAAAGATTTTTAAGAAAAAGATAAAGTTTACTCCGCAATTATTTTTGTTGGGTATTATTGTAGATTTGGATGTTAAAGAAACTAATTTGATGTTGAACTTCATAACTGCTGCAAGATTATTGGTGGGGCAATATTGGAAGAAAAACTTATTGCCTACTTTGGAAGAATGGATACTTAAAGTGTCTAATTTAGCAGAAATGGCGAAAATCTCCGCCTATTTGAAGGATCATTCACAAGAAAGATATATTATGGTTTGGAGAAGATGGATTGATTATATTCAGAAGAAGTATGAAACTGAAAAGTATTATCTTGCTTTTGAATAGATTTTAGATAATTATTAATAGTATTAATGGTATTATTATTTTTGTTAATATTTGTTTTGAGAAGGAGTTAAAGCGTATTATGGTTTTGATTGATAGTTTAGTTGGTTTATGTTAGATAGAGTATGTTTGTTTATTTGTTACCCTGTAATCAGCTCTGGGAAGTGGGGAGGGGGGAGGGGATGGGTGGATTTATATTGTAATTTGTAAAACTTTTAATAATAAAAAAATCATCTCCTCCTCCTCCTCCCAACAAACCCCACTCCCTTCTAGAACTGATGATGTTACCTAATTGGGTAATGAAACATTCTGCAAGAAAACCACCAAGCTCAGAGAGCACCAAGGACCCCACAATTCAACCCTCAGCTACAAATATTCTCTACTATTGGAGCCTCTGTTATCTTCCATAATGATTGAAACTTTGAGAAAAATTAATGGTGCCTCCTAAGCTAGAAACCTTTTTTTAAAAAAAAAAAAAAAATTGGAAATCCATGAAATTGATAGTAGTTATTTACATGACCTCTGGAACCAAACTGATGAAGGATTACTTTGAACAACTAAAAGTTGACTTCCTGTGTTAAAATGTGTTTGATGCAAGGAGACGAAAACTGTTTTGGGCATACTAGATGAAAATAACTCTTAACAAGTGACGTGCTGCTCAAGATGCAACTCAGGATTTGAAAAATAAAGTGGTTTCATTTGGCCTGATATGATCTTTACATTTTGGGATGGATCTTTGATCAATCACTGTATTAAAAAAAGATATCCTTTGTTGTCATAACCCCAGCATTTGGAGTCTATCAAAACATGAAGAATTGAAATTTATTATAAATTGTTTGTTCATTTGTCCATGGAGGCTGGCTAAAAGAATAAGAATGCAAGACTGGAAAGCAAAAAGATCTCCTAATCTGCAGCAATGGATAGTGTGTTTGTGTGTGAATAACACAGAGTTCTGCTGCTAGTTTTATGCAAATAGTCTGTTGTCCTTAAAGCTCTTGAGATGCTTCTCCAAATTAGCTTAATAATCTCTGAGAGGGACAATACCCAAATCTGACAAATAAAATAGAATAAAATAAAATAAATATCCCAACTCCAATGATAACGTGGTGCTCTTTTTTTGAAGAAGCGACTCAATGCTTCAAACAATTTAGACTGAAGGATGGTTATCCGTGCCCAACAAATTCCAGTTGCTGTGTGGTGTTATAAAGCATTTACCTTAATGTCAGCAGCAAATATCTTGAGAATTCCTTGCCGTTGGTAATGACTTGCCTACTTTCTTAATCTATTTATTTGAAAACCTACTGCTGTACCATCCAGAACTACTAATATAGCACATTGTGAGCTGTTAAGAGGCTGGGGGTGGAATTATGTTAGCCTGATGTTCTACTCAGCAGGAAGTAGAGGAGGGCATTTTGTGTTTGTGTGTGTGTGGGGGGGAGAAATAATGATTTACCAGTTCAACTTGAATGAACTTGTACACTCTAAATGAATCATATGATCATTGATCACAAGTTAACAGCCATTTCAGTTGCCGTGCCGTGTTGTACAGACGCTCTGTGTGCAGCTGTGTGTAAGACACGGGAAGGTTACATCCAACAGGCAGCTAATGGCTCATGCTAGGAAGCCTCCAGCAGGAAAGCAGCACATGAGGTTGAATATTAAAAATGCAGGTGAAGCCACAAGTTTTGGCAGTTTGGGCCTCAGTAATAGCGGATGCGAAAGGCTTTCTTTTCTTTTTTTCCAAGTCAGAATGTTGTGTTTTTTCCTACCTCGCAAGCATTCACTTCTCTACACCGGAGGATTCAAAACTGAAATGCAAATACAAGAATTTGTGCAATTGTCCCTTTTCAAATGGCCATGCAATCTATCCCTTCCTATAAAATGGTGGTCCTGGAGGTGAAGACACTCGCTTCCCGTTCAGGAAATTGAGAATTCAAACCTACGCAGTGGGAGATGTTTCTCTATCAGGGTGCAAAGAGAAAATATCTGCAAAATGAAAAGGATCCTTGGACAAATTGAAATCAAGCCATTCAATTCACATAATGGCATTGAGGTCTGCAAGTAGCTCTGGAATAAAAGGGCTAAATGGAATTTAATGATGGATTTTTTTTGTTTGTTTGTTTTGCAGTTTCTGGGTATTCTAGGAATGTGATTTTTTTTATTGAAAACATGATTTTCAAAGGTGTCCCATGGAAAGTGGCACAGGCCTATTTCTCACTAAGGGACTCCATAAAGTCAATTTTCCAAGAACGCGTCCTCACTTCAGTCAGTCACTTGTCTGAAAGGGTCTAGGTCAGGGGTAGGCAACCTTGGCTCTTTAATGACTCATGGACTTCAACTCCCAGAATTCCTCAGCCAGCCTGGCTCAGTTTGGAAACCTCTCCCTTTCCCCTCAGCATGGCTGGCTCAGGAATTCTGGGAGTTGAAGTATTGCCTACTCCTGGTTTAGGTTCTCCTGCTTGAGCAGGGGGTTGGACTAGAAGACTATTCTAAATTCTAAATTGTCATCCACCCACCCCATTTCCTCTTGAAGAATGCTTGTCTTGTTTTCAAGAAAGCAAATATTTCCCTGGAACACAAAGTGTGAACATTGCTTAGCCTACACTGTGTAACAGATCTGGAAATAGCTAACCTTGCAGATCAAAAGAGCCAGGAACTATGCAAAGTTAGAAACGGAGTCAAACTTAAAATGAGAAGGAGCTTATAGTCAGTGGGAGATGTCTGCTCACTTCCAAGAAGTAATAGATCTTACAGACATGATTCCTCAACTTCAAAGGGAGACTGACAGAATTATAACTTATCAAACGACACAATTCTGTCACCTTTCCCTTGAATGGTGATAAACACATTTTCATCCCACTATAAGTATTCATTTGCCTAGCAATACCAGGATGTTTGTGTTACAATGCAAATACTTAGTGAATAGTCACCCTGGTAATCTTGCTGGTTTAGAAAACTTAATATGCTTTTTCACAATCTTTCTTTACTCCCCTTTATTAATATTTTCTGTCATCTGAGCACAGCCTCCCCTCATTGATTCACAATATTAGATAAATAATTATCTCATTACACAATATTAGATAAATAATCTAATTAAAGATAAAGTGGCCCATACCATACCATGCCCTTTTCTTTCTTCAGTCTTTAAACACGGGATTGAATCATATCAGCTTTCTAACATCCTAGAAGCCTTGAGCAGAGGAGGGAGGGGGGGCAACACTTATCCCAGTCCACACACAATAAAAACAAACAAACAAACAAACTATTACTAGCATAAATCCAGGAGAACAAAGTATGATTTTGAAAACAGAGCCAACATTATGGAACTGCATAAGTCCAAAGCAGCAGGCTAAATCTTGGAAACTCTCCATTTTTGTTCAAAACCAGCCCTATCTCTGTGGCCTGATGCATATTGTTTATCCAAAATATATTTCACAATTTAAATTAATTATTTCTTCAGTGTCAACATGCCCTTTCTTTGCCTTTCATATCCCCTTCTCTTTCTCTTGTCCTTGGCTATTTTGCTGTTGAGTTCTCTAAACCTTTGACTTAGCCAGTCGTGTGTCGCAGCAGCTAAAAAAGCTAATGGACTCCTAGGTTGCATTAATAAAGGGATAGAACCAAGATCACGTGAAGTTTTAGTACTGCCTTATAAAGCCTTAGTAAGGCCACATCTGGAATACGGCATCCAGTTTGGGTCACCACATTACAAAAAAGATGCTGACACTTTGGAAAAAGTACAAAGAAGAGCAACTAAGATGACTAAAGGTCTGGAGACTAAAACATATGAAGAAGAATGGTTGCAAGATTTGGGAATGGCCAGTCTAGAGAAAAAAAGGACTAGGGGAGACATGATAGCAGTATTTCAGCATTTGAGGGGCTGCCACAAACAGGAGGGGGGCCAATCTTATTCTCCAAAGCGCCTGAAGGCAGGACAAGAAACAATGGATGGAAACTAATCAAGGAGAGAAGCAATCTGGAATTAAGGAGAAACTTCCTTAACAGGGAGGACAATTAACTAGTGGAACGGCTTTGCCTTCAGAAGTTGTGGGTGCTTCATCACTGGAGGTTTTTAAGAAGAGATTGGACAGTCAAATGGTATAGGGTCTCCTGCTTGAGCAGGGGGCTGGACTAGAAGACCTCCAAGGTCCCTTCCAATTCTGTAGCCCTAACATTCACTGAAACTTCCTACCATCACTTTCCAATCCTTATTCTGCTTACAGATGAGAATATATGTAAATGAAACACATATAGCAATATAATTTATCTTTTCATGAGGTCACGTTAAGCCATCATTCCATGAAAGACAATTTGGATTATGACTGTTTCTGAAAAATTTTCTTCCATAAACTGAGATGTCACACCTATTCAGTGTATCTTTCCAAGAGGAAAAAAAAAACACAACCCCATTTTTTAAGAATTAAAACAAAACAGGACTTCACCCACCAATACACAGAGACAGAATCATATTAAGAAATTGTTACTAGCTGGGAGAATTCTCTATAAATGTTATTAAATTGTACTGGTTTTCTGTATACAAAAAGAAAATTTGTTTACAGTTTTAGCAGAGACTTATAAATGGAGTCTTAACTCAGCGGCAAGAAAATCGGGAAAAACAACATCTGCATTGACTTATTAACACATTAAAGCTACCGCAAATATTATACGTTACAGTTTAATTTGAAAAGGGAATACCACAAAACACATCTGAAAACAAGAAAAGTATATTCTTGTTATGATTGCTGAGAAGAAAATCGAACACGCAGAGGAATAAAAATATAAATTTTATTACTCCACGCTAAGATCATAAGATCAAGGAGAGTCATGTGATAAAAGACATAGACATCATAGAAAATTCCAGAAGATCAACTGTGAGAAGAAACCCTTAATTATGAGAGGAATATTAGCCTGAAGTAGGCCGAACACTGCAATTAAAAAGAAATTAAATATAGCTTCCTTAATGTCTCAATTATATAACAATTGATCGATTTTATTTCGATCGCAGACCGGCATAAAACTAATAACTGACCAATGGTGTTAAAATACAAATAAAAATTCATACTGATAGAATAAAGTAAGGTAAACAAAAAATAACTAATGTAGAATGATAGAGCACCTATATTAAAATGGATCTATCTATTTATCAATCAATCAATCAATCAACTATCTATCCATCCATCCATCCATCATCTATCTATCTATCTATCTACCTATCCATATCTATCTATCTGTCTGTCTGTCTGTCTGTCTGTCTGTCTGTCTATCTATCTATCTATCTATCTATCTATCTATCTATCTATCTCTATCCATCCATCCATCCATCCATCCATTCATCTATCCATCCATCCATCCATCCATCCACACATCCACACATACAGAGTTCCTAAATTTGGGGAGATTTGTGATTTTTTTTGCCAGGTTTTTATATAGAAAATGTTACTACATAGGAAGGAATATGAGTTTCCATCTCCTTAAAACTGT